GGACAATTGCAAGGGCGGATATATTGTCTGGGCCTCTCGGAGGTCAATTCGGCCTTAAAACGAGTGCCCGGTGTGGGTCAACATCAGCGCTGGAGGGACAAAGGCGGTCGGGAGTGGTGCTGGCCACCCACCCCCTCGTGTGCCGCAGTCAGCCATCATAAGTGTTCGCAAGCAGCCCTTGCCCCAAAAGTCCGTTGAGGCTATACGGGGGATCTTTGTAGTTGTAAGTGGGAGAGGGGATGTTGTTCATGCGCGCGTGTGTGTTGGTTTGCAAATGTGACGTCCGTGTGCGTGCGTTTGTGTGTGGGGGAGGGGTGTCCGGGTATGCGCGTGTGTGTGTGTGGTGGTGTGAGTGTTGAAAGGTTGCCCGTGTGTTGATGTGTTGGTGTGTGTGTTCACGCGTGTGTGTGTGTGAGTGTGTGCGTCTTTGTCATTGTACATGTTGTACACATGCCTGTTGGTTGGTGTGTGTATGTGAGTCTGTATGTTGATGTGTGTGTACATGGGTGTTGGCATGTATACATATATGTGCGTGTGTGTGTGTGTACACGTATGTGTGCACGTGTTGGTGTGTGTTCACGCGTGTGTGCATGTGTGTGCACGTGTGTGTGTGTGCACGTGTGTGTGAATGCATGTTGGTGTGTGCGTGTACACGTTTGTGTGCACGTGTTGGTGTGTGTTCATGCGTGTGTGAATGTGTTGTGTGTGTGAATGTATGTTGGTGTGTACATGTAGGGAGCGGTGATCCGAGTTCGATTCCCGCTCACGACCAACTCCTGGGTCTCCCCTAGGTTGACTCAGCCTCAAATGAATACCACGAGGGAGGCGTGGGGCTGGCTACCCACCTCCATATGTGCTCGCTAACAGCACTTGCCCCTACAGCCTTTCCCTCTCGGGAGTAGTATGGGGAGTTTGATTCCCGCTCACGGATATTTACACCAGTGGCGATCATCTCAATATATCCTGGACCTCACCCCTAGGTTGACTCGGCCTCAAATGAGAACCTCATGCGGCCAAGCGTGGGTCAGGCCACCCAAGCCACGTGTGCCGTGCTGGCCTTCAGAGACGCTCACTAACAGCACCAACACACAATCCACACGTGAGTAGTTCACGTGTGGATTGTGTGTTGGTGAGTGTGCTAAGGCTCATCGTGGGGGTTGGGGGGCATCTCTGTTCTTGTGTGTGCAGCGAACTAAGATGAAGGCATTGTCGCACACACGCGGACCCACGTCGCCACAGTAGACGTATACTGTAGCTTTACCCACACAGCACGGGGTGTCAATCCGCTTGGTAAAGGTCTCCCCACAATGTCCCACAGTTGTGAGGATTGCCTGACCATCATACACCACCACGCACGTGCATTGTACTCGAGTCCACTTGTTGATTGACAACGGCGGAATCGTGACGCTGTCTCCATCACGAACCGTGGGACAAATTGCCACATCCACGTCTCTTTCACTCGTTCCATGATTTTGTGAATCTGTCCCCAACGTGCCTGGCGTGTGGATAGGAGGCCACGGAATTGACCTCAGACGTAGTTCTGTGACATCCCGCGTTCTAAGAGACCCTTCGCTGGCACACGGTGGTTCACTGCTTAATGCGAGTTTTCCAAACGAATTGACACCTTTATCTACTAATCCTGTTAAGAACGAAAATGTGTTAATTTCGTGTGCCGGAGGAGGGGAGGGGGGGAAGTAAAAATGACACAAAACCACAAAAAACTCACCACCCCAGTGAGCATGCAACGTTGGTTCAACGTTGGTCCAACGTTGCAATGTTTTAGGGGACACGAGCTGCGAAATTGACCTCGTGTTGAGGTCGAGCAGGTGCTGATGGGTTGCTGCATCGCCGGGTCGTCAGAGATGGCGACCGTTTGGAAGAAGCCTTCATCCAGCAGTGGCTCGATCATGGCTGCCTGCTGGTGGTCATTCAGACTCATCGCAATCAGCCATGCTCACTCAACTGATGGAGATGATCACCATGGCCACTATCATCAGCCACGATGATGATGATGGTTATCATCTCACTCAACTGCTGAGATGATGGAAGATGATGATCATCATAACCATCATCATCAGCCACGATTGTGATGATGGTTATCATCTCACTCAACTGCTGGGATGATGGAAGATGATGATCACCATGTCCACTATCATCAGTCACGATGATGATGAATGGTTATCATCTCACTCGACTGCTGGGATGATGGAAGATGATGATCATCATAACCATCATCACCAGTCACGATGATGATGATGGTTATCATCTCACTCAACTGCTGGGATGATGGAAGATGATGATCACCATGACCATCATTATCAGTCACGATGATGATGATGATGATGGTTATCATCTCACTCGACTGTGGAAGATGATGATCATCATAACCATCATCATCAGTCACGATGACGATGATAGTTATCATCTCACTCGACTGCTGGGATGATGGAAGATGATGATCACCATGACCATCATCATCAGCCACGATTGTGATGATGGTTATCATCTCACTCAACTGCTGCGATGATGGAAGATGATTATCACCATGACCATCATCATCAGTCACAATGATGATGATGGTCATGACGATCATGGCTGCCTGCTGGTGGTAATTCAGGCTCATCGCAATCAGCCATGCTCACTCAACTGATGGAGATGATCACCATGGCCACTATCATCAGCCACGATGATGATGATGGTTATCATCTCACTCAATTGCTGGGATGATGGAAGATGATGATCATCATGACCATCACCATCAGTCACGATGATGATGATGATGGTTATCATCTCACTCCACTGCTGTGATGATGGAAGATGATGATAACCATGACCATCATCATCAGCCACGATTGTGATGATGGTTATCATCTCACTCAACTGCTGGGATGATGGAAGATGATGATCATCACGACCATCATCACCAGTCACGATGATGATGATGGTGACGATGGTTACCATCAATCATCCGTGGTCAATCCTCTGCTGGATGGGGGGGGGGGTTGGAGGGACATGAATAGTTGGTGCTGATGATGGTGGTGGCGTGCCACGAGAGGGCGTGCGTGTGGCGTGTCCCGATCACGGTGTTGGTGGTGGTTGGTGGTGGGGGGGGTGCAAGGCGATGCTCACCCCCCCCCCCCCCCCCGTGATTACGCGGCGATGTGCGTCACGGCGCCGCGCACAGCTCCGCTCCATCCTCCTCTTGCTCGATTCCTCCTCCTCCTCATCCTTTCCCCCCTCCGCCGCATCCTCTCCATCCCTGTAGCTCGCTCCTCTGCCACTCCATCCCTCTCTCCTCTCTCTCGGCCTTGCGTCGGGCACGCATCTACCCGCTCGTCGCTGCTGCTGCTGCTTGCTGCTTGCTAGTGCTGCTCCTGGAAGGGCATCGGCTCGTCTTGAAGACCCTGGAGTGACCAGGGAGCTCCGTGCAAAAGCACAGAAGAGGTGAAATGTTCGCGAAAGAAATGCATTTAGTGTATGTGTGTGTGCGTGTGTGCATGTGTGTGCGTTCGTGTTGGGGCTCGGGCAAAGGCCCTTGCAGGGGAAATAGAGGGGTGTGCTTGGAGAGAAGGAAGCATGGCCATTGGGGGTCGAGGCGAGGGGAAGGATTTTACGAGAGTGGGTGGGTTCAGGGGAGAGAGGTGTGTGTATGTGTGTGTGTGCTGGCCATGCGAGCCAAGCTTGTGCGTGGGAGGAGGAGGAGGGGGGTGATAACAGCGCCCCTGCTGTCAGCCTGGCTAGCCCACTGCTGCCTGAACTGCTGCCTGCCCGTACCACGTGTCTACTGTCTGCCTAAACCACGTGTCTTGAGTGTCTACTGTCTTCCTAAACCACGTGGCCACTGTGTGCCTGAATCACGTGTGTGCGTGTTTTACTCGTTTGCCTGTCGTCTGAGTTTCTGTTGTCTGCTAGAACCACGTGTCCTTATAAACCAGGCGTCTTCACATTTACCTGAACCACGTGGCTGACTGGCTGTCTATTGCCTGTCTTAACCACGTGCTTACAGCCTTGATGGACTTCTGTCTGAATAGCTATCTGTGAGCGAGCCTTCGTGGATGTGAGTGCAAATGCTCTGCGATAACGTATTGAACTTATTCAGGAAAGCGTCAATGAGTTGCAATCCTTTTTTTTGGGAGGATCCTGCATTGAGCTATTTGGCCAATTCGTTTAAAAATAAATACATAAACTTGTGTTCTTTCGTGTGGGTAGGAAACAGCTCTAATCCACCATGCATACGAGGTTAAAACACCCTCTTATCCACTAAGTGGTGACATCACGGCGTTTGTGCCAGGTGAGGTGCACTTTCAGGTGCGCTTCTGCAGACGTCTGGAACGCTCTTCCGATGTTAGGAAGCCACTGGGGCTATGCAATTTTCATATGGATTGAAAACATTTCTCTAGAACTGCTATTTGTGTTTAGTTTGTTATCCTTCCCCGCGCCTCCGATGAGCACGGTTTGCTATGTATGGCGTGAAATAAGTTCAACATACATACTTTAAGGCCACGTGAAGTTTCGAAGGCTTGCTGACAGGAGGTTACGTGGCAGACCCAGATGCCATGGTTTGAACTGGCATACGGGTTCATAATTCATAAACCCATTCGCAGTGCTGACATCTCTGGACACCACCACCACCATCACTGGGTTTGGGTGTTTCACAAATCTCTGATCCTTCAACCCCTTGCCTCCTAGGATCACAGACAGGTGTGTGTCGCCACATCCAGCCGAGGTCACCATCATCTTCATCGCTGCACCAAACTCCTCCTGGTCCTGTCACCGGAGTGGGATGAGTAGTAACTCAGTGTTGAGGATGGTTGTGTTTGATGAATTATTAACTATGTACCGTGGGCATAGGAACACAACAATGATAATAGTGACAATTATTTATCCAGGAATTCCTGAATCTCAGGACTCGTTTTAGAGTGTCCTGCCTTGGGAATGCAAACCTGTCAACCCATACGGTGTACCCGTATTCTTGTACGGGGAGTTTTCAGGTCCATACCGCGTACAGTCGTTTCAATCCTGGCAACAATAAAACAAAAATTAACATGAGTGTGTGCATCAACATATCAAGCAAGCAGCAGCATCAGCATGCAATATCACAGACAGCATGATGAGTGGCATCATTAACGACAATTATCAAAATTAATGCATAAAACAGTGTTTAGTTAAATAATTTTTATCTTCTTGGTTCTTTCGGTAAAGTCACGTAGAAGGGAAATAATAAAAAATAAAATATTATGTTTTATTTGTATCAGTCACGTAGAAGGGAAATAAAATATGTTTTATTTTTATTATTTTATTATTTCCCTTCTACGTGACTTTACCGAAAGAACCAAGAAGATGAATCCCTGCAGTCACGAAAGCTTTAAATCGAAATTTTACATAATTTTTGTCTATTTATTTGTGTTTATCCCTTGTCATGGGACTCTGTAGGATGAACGTTGATATTTATAAGGGCACGGGGTGACCAACAAGGTCTGAATTGGTCTGTAACAAGGTAGGCACTGATAAGGGGTTGACAGGTATGGGAATGTTTTGACCATTTTTATGAATTAGTGTTTGGCTACATGTGGGGAAGAAGCCGGAAAATCGGGAGAAACCAAGCGTGTATACAGAAAAGGGATTTTCACTCTAGCACTGCCATCTACTGGCCACCTGGTAGCACCATGCTACACCTGGAAAACCAGGTGGTGGGCCATCCACGTACTAACCAGGATCGACCTTTCTTAGCACTGAGGTCTGACAAGATCAGATACATTTTTTGTGATTTTTACGTCGGCATCGGGCAGAGGTCACAAACGGGTTTTGATTCTTTACCCGTACCCGTACCCGGCCGCACCAGGGTCGCAAACGGGTACCCGTACCCGGTCGGGTACGGGTAGCCGGGTATCGGGTAGGGTATGGGTATCGGGTGCCCGGTTGCGACCTCTGGCATCGGGGCAACGTAAGTTTGGGAACTGCTTCAACCACAATTTTCATTGCAGGGGATTAGTCGTCTGTGATCCCTTCAATTAGTGGCGTTTATGGACCTCCTCTGCCTACCAAACATTGCCCCCCCAAGGCTACTGTCCCTCTCAAAATCAGAATTGTCCTTTAGAAATGTGGTTAGGACTGGATATGACAAACTACATCCGGTGATGCTGTCACCTTAAACATACTGTACTGAGGAAGGCGAAAGCCACCACAACTGCCCTCGGCCCAGTCACGGTTCACGGACCCGAGTGCCGAGCGGTGTGGGTGGTGATGTGAAGAGATTGGGATCGGATGGAGGGAGAATGAGCCGCGGACCTGCCCTTGGGCAGATAATTTGCAATCAAGGGAGATGCAGTGTTAATGATGACGAGTTAATTGATTACTGTAAAAAAAAAAGAACAACATGCCTTTCACGCCGCGTGGTGCTAACTTCAGTCGGCTAGAATAATTGATCAATTTTCTAGAAAGGGGTTTGATTTGTCGAATGGCGCCCTAAATAGAGAAGGGCTTTATCGGTCAAGTTAGCTTGGAGTTCAATTATCCCACCATTTACAAAAGTCAGCGTGTGACCCACTTCTTAAGAGACCATATCAAGGGGCTCATCTCCTTTGGCGGTCCTAAACCAACGGTGGAAATTCCACATTCCCATGGCATGGACTCATATTCTTGGAAGACCATCATCTGTGTTGACTTCCCACACAGTGACACTGATTGTATCTTCCCTGAAGGAATGATTGGCATGGTTGACCCAACAATGGAATTTGAACTCAGCCTATAAATGCTGTACAGTAACAGTAAATGGAATAAAGTACACAATTTCCTCCGTGGCCCTGGCCTCAATGGCCCGCAGTGGTGACTATTGGTGAAGCTGTTAGTGGTGTGCATGGCAGTGTGGAGCAGAGGTCGCAAACGGGTTTTGATTCCTTACTCGTACCCGTACCCGGCCGCACCAGGGTCGCAAATGGATACCCGTTCCCTACCCGTACCCGTACCCTACCCGAAATGAGTGACAAACGGTTACTCAGCAGTGATTCACGGCCTACCCGTACCCGGCCGGGTACGGGTAGCCGGGTATCGGGTAGGGTACGGGTATCGGGTACCCGGTTGCGACCTCTGGTGTGGAGGGGTTAGGGGTAAGTGACTTTGCATGCATGTGGGGGTGTGATGATGGATGCATCGGTGATGGGTATTGGATTGATGGGTGGTGGTTGTTGGGGTTCATGGGTGTTGAGGTGTTGGCCTCATGACCTACAAGTGTAATGTTGGCCTTAGTTGGTGCCCAGGACTCTCCACCAACAACACGTGTGTGTGGTACTGCATACATGTATTTATATAGTGCGAGGCAGTTGTGTATACTGCAAATGTAGTCAAAATTGGAACGTCTCTCTACTCATTGTGGCTGTCCTCTCCTGCATTACTGGGCCCTAAGCCGCTTCTAAAAAAAATCCACATTAGTATGGTCGGATCTAGTCCAGTACATTGATAAGACTTCAATACATCATGTGGCGTTGCCTCATTATACCGAGCCTTAAAGAACTGATGATAGTGATGCAGACAATGAGTTGACTGACCAGGGTATGTTGTAAGATAATGTTGGATAAATTATTGACAATAAATGTCGATACGAGCAGCAAGTAAAACGTATGCATGCAAGTAACAGTACATATGCATTTTTTCTTCTACTTATGTATTAAACCATATCACGGTTGGATTGTATTGCAATACTAAAAATTGGCTTATTCTTATTACGAAGTCCATGGTGTTCTGCAGCTCAGCTATTAAATTTGCAAACAAACTCAACATAATTCGTCATTAACACAGTGGGGGGTTCCTTAAAAGGAAAATAACAGGTGACGGTTCGGGCAAAGGTCCTATGCGCCACTGCCAATGCAGTATCACTAAATAATGTATCAAATAAGCAGTTAAAATAGGTATCCACACACACACACCTGGCACACATCTGGCACACATCTACATCAGCACATTGGCACATCTACAAACACGCTCACACAATGCAAAGATCCCCCGTATAGCCTGAACAGACTGTTGGGGCAAGTGCTGTTAGCAAGCACCGATGAAGGCCGGGACGGCACACGAAGGGGGTGGGCGGTCAGCACCACGCCCGGCTTCCTTTGTCTCCCCCAGTGGCTATGTTTACTACACATCGCACCACGAACTCTTTTGAGGCCGAGTGGACCTTGGGGAGGAGACCCAGGACCGGTTCGGATAATCGTCACTGGTGCTGACCGTGAGCGGGAATCAAACTCGGGTCGCCAGGTTCGCAGCGCTAACCGCTATGTGAGCACACGTGTGTGAGATGTCTACACACACGTGTGTGTAATGTCCAGGTAAAATGTTAACGTGTGTGGAAATGACACACGTGTGTGTGGACATTACACACGTCCACAATGTCCAGGTAAAATGTGCACGTGTGTGTATGTGTGTAATTTCCACACACGTGTGTGTAATGTCCAGGTAAAATGTGCACGTGTGTGTGGACACTACACACACACACGTGCGCGTGTGTGTGTGTAGTGGCCTTCACTGGCCCCGTCCAACAAAAATGCGAGAGGGCATCTTTAAAAAAAAACACGCGCGGCGCGCGCTCGGGATGAGCCAATCGGAGCGCGCGCCGCGCACCACGTGACGCGGGAATCCCGCACCACCCCTTCGTGTTGAAGGAGCCCCGCCCCCCCGCACGCGCCCCCCCCCCCGGGCTGCCCCGCGTTGGTTAAAAGAGAAATCCGCGGAAGTTCCCCCCCACACACACACCGACCACATGGGTACACGTGCTTTGTAACACGGCGAAACAACAGCACTTCTAAGTCTAGATTTGAAGCTTTCGTGACTGCAAGGATTCATACTCTTGGGTTTTTTCGGTAAAGTCACGTAGGTAAAAATAAAAATAAATTATAATTATTTAATTTCTATTATCATTAATAAAATTTTTATTATTTATTTATTTTTATACCTACGTGACTTTACCGAAAAAACCTAAGAGTATAGTTCTAAGTCTCTTTTCTCAGCGATGCGTGCCTTGTCCTCGCTCCGGCGAGCATTGTGAGGCATCGGGTGGGCGAGTTCGTCTGTGTATTCCACGTTCCTCTGGCGGGGGCGGTTTCTTCGCAGAGGACAACGCCCGTTTCGCTGGGGATCAGTGCTCAATTTTCACACGATGTGGTGACTCATTTATCATGTATCGACCCAGTTAGGGAGGGATGATGATGATGATGGGCTGAGTTAACCCCAAGACCAGGATGTGAACTCGCACCTTTCCGCTTTGGGAGCCGCTCGCTCTGCCGCTGAGCCGAGCCTCGTTATCGAGTTTTGTAATTTAATAGTTACTGTACATCGTATCATCTCTAACCTGAGCCTATCAGCAAAACCACTGGGGCTGTGAAAGTTCGGCCCAGGTTGGGCCTGGATAGTGGTGGGACAGGCAGCATTGTAACGAGACGGGAAAACTTGACTTGCATCCCACTGGGATTTGTGCACACAGTGTTGGTGCACGGTGCTTTTTCTGCAACATTTTGCTGTCTTTTCTTGGATTTTCTGTTTGCACTTTATCACTTTAGAGATGTTTTCTTGTTCATGTTTTTTGTTTGTTGCGGTTGCACCCGATTCAAGAGCCGAATGGCTCACAGGGCTATACCTAATCAATGAAACTTGAGATGTCAACTCCCTCGCCAGGTGTGCAGGAGGTCGTGGTGTTCGATCCCGACCCTGACGGCTGCTGTACATTTGGGGTTTGCGGTGTCTCTCCCGGTGGTCGCGTGGATTTTTTTTCTCTCTCTCCGGTTTTGCCCTCGACATTTAGAAGCACGCGTTTAGATTATTTTGCTGCAATAAAATCTCCACGCGAGAAGGCCATTTGCGTTGAGCTGTCATTTCTAGCCAGGTCGCTTCTGAAACGAGTAGATCAGTGGACTTTACCGGTTAATAAAAACAATAGTTTAGTTTTGTATTTTTTTTTAGTGATTTGTTTACTTTCCCTATACTCCGCACGCCTATCGTGTTTTTGTATTTATTGTAGCGTTCTGACCCGCCTCTACTGGACATCTGATCTTCGTAGCTCATCGGATTTACCCAGTATCAACACATATTCTGAGACCAGAGTGACACCAATCAACCTCCAAGCCGTTACCTCTTGTGGGCCCAAATTTGGACAAATTTGCCTTTTCTGACGTTTCTATTTGCAAGCATAAAAGAAACTGAACACTTTCGTCAATAACACTGTGTGGCCTTAAAAGGAAAGTACATAATAGGTGAGATTTTGGACAATGACCAAAATCTTACCTATTATGTAGCACATAAAGAAGAGTCATTACCTGAAATGTCCCTTTTTGTATCGTTTAAGGCCATACAGTGTTATTTTAAAACGTGTTTAGGTTTATAATGCAGGTTTTTTTTGGGGTTAGAAAGCATAAATATAAATGTGTTGTTAAATCTGCTACCACCCAACACAGCCAGTTAGTAAGGTTTGTCACGTAAACAGAACATGCCAATTCGTTACTAATACAGCACACCGGTGTATTGGAGATTAAATCCACAACATTTACAATTCGAGTAGGTTTACTCTCCAAAACACCGGTGTGCTGCACTAGTAACGAATTGGCATGTTCTGTTAACGTGACAAACCATACTAATTGGCTGTGTCAGGTGGTGGCGGATTTCCCGACTCATTTATATTTTCACGATCTAACCCAAAAAGCCCTTACTATGGATGATATTGGCAGCGAAAGCCTACGTGTTAAATTCCGATTTAAAGCTTTCGTGACTGCAGGGATTCTTGGTTCTTTCGGTAAAGTCACGTAGAAGGAAAATAATAAAATAATAAAAAATAAAACATAAGAAAATAATTCTCACGACGTTTCGGCCACAACGCAAGCAGCCGTCTTCAGGTGGAGAACAGGTATGTCGAGAAGGCAGAGTCTGAAGACGGCTGCTTGCGTTGTGGCCGAAACGTCGTGAGAATTATTTTATTATGTTTTATTTTTATTATTTTCCTTCTACGTGACTTTACCGAAAGAACCAAGAAGATAGGTGTTAAAGTGTTTCGTTTTTTTTATTGTGATTGTGCGCCACTGCCAATACAGCAGCAAGCAGCATTGCCAGATAATTGATTCAAGTGTGAGCATAGAGGTTGCCAACATTTGTGCCACATTTCAGCTCTCAATCCCTTCTGGGACATCGTTCGAATGTGCACCTCTTTTGCATTTTTACATATTTCTATTTTGGCTCCGTAATCTTGACCAATGTTGAGTAATTACACACAAACACCGACGCTGTGACTCAGGGTGACTTCCTGAATTAGCACTCACATGCGCGTGGAGACTGTACGCATGTGTGTTCACTGAGATGTATATGTGCAAGTGCAGCCCTTTTGACAATCTACTGCTGAATGAGGATCTCCCCACGCTGTGCGGGTTATGGGGGTTATATGACCATACTTCACCTTGCTTGTCAGCGGCTAAACTATATAGCTCTTTTTCAGAAGCTACCTGGCCACATATGATAGCCGAATGAAGTGGCTTATCATGTGGAAATTTATAACGGCCAAATTCTCGCAATGCATGTTTCTTAATGTGGAGGGAAAAACCAGAGGACCCGGAGAAAAATCCATGCAACCAAGGGGAGAACATGCAAACTCCAAATAAACAGGCGTCAGGATCAGGATCTAACCCATGACCTGTATACCAGGCGAGGTAGTTAACATCTCTCCATCATGGCGAGCACGGACCCTGAAGTGTAGAAGTATTATAGAACAACGGATTTTTCAGCACTACCATCCTCTGCACATAACATAGCCACACTGCAGCCCATAACACCTGTTATGCATGGTGGTGGTCACCCATCCACGCACTGTCCAGGCTCAACTCTGCTTAGTTTCCAAGATCTGATGAAATTGGGCACATTGCAGGTGATTTGATCAAAGGCTTACTGGCCATTATATGATTTAGCAAATAAAAATGTTGATCTTCAACTCAATGGGGTATTTTACAGGAAAGGTGAGTTAGCAGCATTGAGAACCTGGGGTTTACCTCTGGCAGTAATTGGTGATGAACTCGGGCTCTTCTTTTGAAGGGTGATGGTCACACACCATGAGCACTGCATGTGCCAGAAGAAGAGAACACGAACGCAATGGGAATTGTTTTTTCCTTTATTTTGTCGATAATAAATATGCTCCCAGCCGCTGTTTGCATGAGCCATGGGTCACCATGAGCAGACAAAGCTGAAATACATCTTTCGGATTCTTAGGATTTTTTTGGGGAAAAATCCGGAACTTTAGAGAGCCATATTAAACCCGAAGATTCGTAGATTTGTGAGAAAATATATTTGGAGCGAAGCTGGCATGTGAATAATTATCCGGTTTCATTGCAAATCTAGGGACTAAAAGAGCCATACTAATGTAGTGGGTTCTACTGAGGCACACACTTGAATTTGGAGGCAACACGTATATTACACGACCACAACAGGGTAACTACATAAACGTATACTGGTTAACTAGACCACAACGGGTAACTAGACCACAAGGGAGTAACTACATAACGGGGTAAGTCAGTAACACACTGCCTGACCCACGATGCCGAGCGTAAAGACCGAAGACCGAGGACCGAGGATCGAAGAGACGTAGCATCGTCGGGTTTCATTCCAACAGACAGCCGCGATTGCTCTCGGGACCTCCCCTTTATGCTCCCGAGCGTGGCCTCGTTCCACCTTTGGCCACGCCCCCTTCTGGATCTCACCAGAAGGTTTTCGACCGAGGATCACGTGCCCCTCAAGCCACCCTTTGGGCCCCCTCGCTACCCTGTCCCGGTCACGTGCCCTCTCGGGTTCACCTAGACTGTCACGTCCTTACTTGCCCTCTCTCTGACTGTCACCAGAACCATGCCCCCTAGGACCCGCTTCCATGCCATAGCTACTCTGGTGCCGGAGACTTGTCATATACCCTCTAAGTTGTACTCCCTGAAGCCGTCCCATATTGCCTACAACCTTTACGAGTAGACAGCTCATTCCTCTAGCAGACCTGGTGGATTTTCTCTCATCTCAAATTACAATTTTAAGCGTACATTTCCAAAATGTCACCTCTTTTAAGCATGTTTTCCTTCATCTCCCACCCTCCTCCAACCTCACGCTCTCGACTGTCTACAGTCTACCAAAACCAAACCAACACCTCATGCCTGTATTCTTTGGTTCTTTCGGTAAAGTCACGTAGATCCCACCTCGGTCTAAAGTCTCTCCGCCTCTCTGCTCAATGTTGGTGATTTCAAAATCCATGTTGATGATTCATCTAATTCTTTCTCAGCCACATTCCATTCCATCGATCTCTCCCAACTTAATCTCATCTCCCACTCATCGCCACACTCTCAATCAGCCTCGTCATCTGCAACACCATGTTCATCGCTCTCACCGCTATTTCGTCCTTTAGTGTTCTTGACCAACACTTCTCAAATGTCTCCTTTTTTTCTCCCTAGGCCACCGCCTTCCAGGTCCAACATCATTTTTCAGCACAACCAGACATCTATCTCCTTCACATATCTGCTCCCACATTCTGTCTGAACTCGCTCCTCTGAAAACTCGTGCCGCTTCTAGAACATGCTTGGCCACCTGGTACACAAACACCAAGTGTCACTGTTCACTCACATCCGGCCTTGACGTGATCTCCTTACGGAATGGTTTTAGGTTGTTTTTTTCAGCTCATTTTACATACATACACAAACTGGAATAATCCTACATCGGCAAACATTCCACTCTCAAGTCAATATTCCGATTTGATTGTGCATCCCCCTAAACTTAGGCAATTTGAGTATATACCTCCTCAAAAAGCCACATTTATAAACCTTGGATCAGAGCAGTGAGTTTTCAGCACTGAGGTCCTGCGTTCAAATCTAAGTTCTAGCCACCCATGATTCACGCACGGTCGTAATTATAGTGAGTTGATGGTCTTATCCCGGAAATCAATTACTGTAACAAACAAAAATCACAAGTTTGGTCATTTTTAGGTTAATTTTTTTCACGGGATGTTCTCTGACATGTGGTGATGCAATGTCCTGCAACACTTCCTAATTGGCATTGTGGTCTGATGATGACGTGACACCAACAACACCAACGAAATAAAGAAACATCATTGGTCAGTGTAAGCGTCTGAGACAAAGAGCCAGACTATGGCACAACGTCTAGAACGTTCCAGGGGTGACTAAGATACTTTTATATTGAGCCCTCACTGTCTGCTGTTTAATTTGCGCTTTGGCTATACCAGCTCTTCAAAAACCTGACCCTTTAGCTTCTTCTAAAAATACCACCCTTATACGCAAGCTGAACGTCAATGAACAAACCACACACGCACTCTGATTCGCTGTGCGTTAACTTGCATGCCGTGCGCGCGCAGTTGAAGAAAGTGCAGTCCGATGTCTTTGGTTTAAAGTAGTGGTTCTTAACTGTTACTGCGGCCTTGCACCCCTTTGGTTCTCAATCGTAACAAAAATAATCATGTTTATAAATACATATGTTTGATGAAACAAAGTAGTTGTACTTACGTGCCCGTGCTTAAGTTGGTGTTTCGATGATTTACCTTCAAAAGAAATCTGGCCACGTCTAGCACCCCCGGAAAGGGCATCTCGCACCCCCAGGTGATGCGTGCACCCCAGGTTATGGAAGGGTGCAGTCAAAACAATGAACAATTCAAAGACTGCGTGTAGATGTGTACATGCGCGGGATGTTCCGGGCAGTTCCGACAAGCGTTAGAAGCTCCGTAAATAGCGAAGAAAAATAAAATAAAATAAAGTGTTCGAGCCACGGGCATGAGCGTGACAGTAACACCGCTGGTGAAGTCGATTTAGTGCTCCTGACCATAGCTTTAAAGTAGTTTTTTGTACATAAATTAATATTTAAATTCGTGTTTGACAGCCTGGGGTGCACAGCATCGCATGATTGTGTTGAAATAATAGGAAACTAGTTTTCTCAATTTAGAACACATTTCCAGCACTTTAAAGTTGTGGTTAATCATCGGTCCAGTCACGACGTGGATTTTATACTTCAGGCATAGCCCGCCAACCAAATGGGCCTGTAATTCAGATTGAAAAAATATGTCCACCTTTCTTAATAAATGGAGAAATGGTCGTGAAATTCCACAGCATTGGACGTACTCGGACAAACTAACTTGTCATCCACGCTGGGATGGGGATGGTGCATTCATTTTCGTGCTTGTGTCAAGCCGTGATTCTTCCTTAAATCAGATTTATTTTTTGTAGTATCTGTACACAGCTAACTTGAAAATGACACCCCAGGGCAGGGTGGCAATGCATTAAGAAAGACCCGGTTTGGATGCATGACTCGGATGCCTTTCTGTGTTAAACTTTCTGTGTTCTCCCTCTTTACTGCATGTGTTTCCTCCAGGTTTTATGGTTTTATTCTATAGCCAAAAGCATTCATTTGAACTGGTATTGGCCAAACCTCATGAGTACGTTGACTACGTACGGTGGAAAAAGAAGTTCCACGTGCATCCATACAAATATTCCAACTCGTGACCCTCCTGAAAATGAGTCTTTAGACTCAGTGGAGCTTTACCGGGCGTGAATCAGTTCTTGTTATTTTGATTATTAGAATGAGCTTGACATTTATTTCCAAGAGGTTGCCCAATTAGTGGAACTGCCCAGGAGATGCAGTAGTTTGTTTCTGTTTTATCCTCCTTGTCGCAGGTAACAGCGTCCATTGAGGTTGATTGCCTCATTCAAGGGAGACCTCGGAAACCCGAAAGAGGAATTTCTTGAAATACATGTTTTGATGAGTGGACCTTGGATAGGACTAAGCACGGGTGGTGAAACAAAGTTGAATTTTCACGGACTCTTCCCTTAAGGGTGATGATTTAAAGCAGATGAGACTGTTACATTAATGTCATCAACAGCAGCCATGATCAATCCACCACTGGATGAAGGCCTGTCAATGCCATCGCCTTCTCTCACAGTCCTACGATGTAATAATCCACCTCGAGTATGAATGCACTACAGTACGTCGACACATCCCACTGCCACCACAGGTCAAGGAGGCATGATGGCCAATGCTGCCAATTTCTTTTCTTCATTCCCGTCCTTCTGCTCAATCCCGCGGTTGTTTGCAAATTGACGTGTGACCTCTAATGTCTCTCCTCGCAGCCACATTACCACCATTACCACAGTCTGGCTTGAGCTCTTCACCTTGTCACACTCGTGACACGTTCATCAAGGACCATTCTTAGAATCTCAGCAACACCACCACATGGGTTTTGGTCTTCCTCTTGGTCGCCATTCCAATGCCTGTATCAGTCACCTGCTCCCCACCACCCTGCAGACGTGTCCCACATCCTCCTCTTCCTAGTCACATCCACGACGCTTTCCTGCCACATTTCGTCCCAAACCTCCCAGTTGCTTATCCCATCCTTGAGTGAAATCTCCTGCATCCTCAGCTTGCACCTGTACTGCATTGGACACGTGCAGTTTGAGTGTCACACATATATACAGTTGCCATATATCCAGTAATGTTTGCCATATAGGTTAATTCTGAAGTTTGCCATCAAATTACATTGACGTGTTTAATATATTCCCGAGGGGCCACTAATTGTGGGTCAAGTTTTAATGAGAACAGGTCGCGTCGCTTTAGTGTTAATTGTCGCTTGTGGGCAGAAATGCACGCACGCTCAGGCAGGGAGGTAGGTGGACAGGGCCAGAGGAAACCAACCGCACGTTCACAGCTAGAGAGACAAAGAAAGCAACCCCATCCTCATCATTATCATCATCATCATCATCGCGCCATTATCCCTTTATAGTAAAAAAAAAAGGACTACGATGAATGATGATGACGATTCTTCTTGTGTGCGGTAGGGTTTTAATAAGCAGTGGTGAATATCTGAAATGCCGCGGTTGGCGAATGATCACTGTGGGTAGTAGCGTTGCAAAAATGGTCCACGGTTTGAGATCGGTGACTGCCGTCTCTCTTGTGGGTTTTCGTAATTGTCCTGCGGTGTAGGAGGAGATGGTGCAATCAGCCGTGCGATGAATGATGATGATGATGATAATTTACAGACCTTTGTCAATCCGTGCCGTTTCAGTTGATTGGATTGTCTGTCCATACTTCACCACGTTGGCCTGTGTGGGTTTGGCAATTACGGGGTAGCGTTGACGGTTGAAGCATAGTCCAGTACAACGATGGATATTTCTGCACTGATCTGATGAGACCCGTTGCACTCGAGATGAGTTGTGCTCCCAGCAATAGGAATGTCACGTTTCCACCACTGACTCAGCACTGCCGTTGTAGATGATGATCGCCAATACTTTGATAGAAAAGGAGATGATCTGACTGTTGTTGACCACAATATGACGAAAAGAAACGAAGACACTGACAAAACATCGCATTGTCATTTGCTCGCCTTTGACCATCTTATCAGATGCGTGATGGCAGTTAATGATGTAAATATTGACAATTGAATGCTTAATCATAAAAAAAATTCATGTTTTATTCCAATTGTGCTATCTTGTTTATGTCATAGGATTAATTGTCCACTTGCACACACCTCGTGTGCTTTATAGAATGGCCCATTAAAGCAGATTTCACGGAACTACTTCTGGGATCTCTTCCAAATATGCTCTTTCAAGGTTATTTTGTTAACCGGGTGAAAACTAAATAGGGGGTGATGATTGCTATATATAATCCCAATTGAGTAATTTGCCACAAATTTTCAAATTTGGAAAATTTGGACCCTCAACCACACTCCTGGTGCTACACCTTCCCATGCACCCTGCTACAGAGAAATATTAATCGCTTGGGAAATATATGAAAATTTTCGAAATCATACATTTTGTCAATTTAGATGAGAAACCAATGTTTACATGATTGTTATTATTTAACATGATTGTTACTGGACTGACACCATGAATTCACTGGATTAAATATACAGTAGACTCTCGATTATATGCTTTGTTTTTTTCGGTAAAGTCACGTAGGTAAAAAAATTAATTTAATTAAATCACGACATTTCGGGCGCAACACAAGCGTCCTTCTTCAGATGGGGACAACTTAGCGAAAGCGCACCGCACATAAAAAAAAATTACCTACGTGACTTTACCGAAAAAACAAAGAGTATGAATCCTTGCAGTCACGAAAACTTCAAATCTCGATGATACGCGTGCGGTTTATCCGATTTACGGATTATCTGCGCACACCTGAGATTTGGACGTAAATGAATAACTCATGGATTTTCCCTTAAGCCCAAATTAATAATAATAATAAAACAGTTATACATTGTTATTCTTGGAAATGTTTATTACAAATCACGTGCTTAAACCGAACAAATACTGTACTGTTGAGGCGATCACGTGATCGCCTCAACAGTACAGTAGTTGGATATCTTTACAACAGTGGGCGGGGTTTGATTGATTTTGATTGACGTGCCTCTGCAATCCGCTACGTGCGCGGAGTCTTCTGCGCGGGAGCAGGAAAGCGTCCTCACTGAGCACGCGCATCGTCGGACGGTCGATACAAAACAAACTCTTAACTGAAAATAGTTTATACCTATATTAGTCGTTTCATTTTTGGATTATCCACAATTTTGAATTCTTTGCGGCCATCCTCACCGTCATTAGCGTGGATAATCGAGAGTCTGCCGTGTATGTATCAGAGTGTCTCTGTGCTGTTTGGAGGACTGGTAAGTGACGTAGAAGGGAAGTAATAAAATAATAAAAATAAAACATAATAAAATAATTCTCACGACGTTTCGGCCACAACGCAAGCAGCCGTCCTCAGGTGAAGAATGAAACACCACCAAGCTTGGAGCGTATATTTAAGCTGGGTTGGAGGGGGGAAGAAGAGCGCCTTGACAAAATAATTTGCATATCAAGATGAATTTAGCATATTTATGGGAAATGCGTAGGAGGTGGGCGGGGGGTTTCAAAGTCATATTATGCCCGTGCATATGTATTACTTCCCTTCTACGTGACTTTACCGAAAGAACCAAGAAGATGAATCCCTGCAGTCACGAAAGCTTTAAATCGAAATTTGACTGGTAAGTGGTCGGCTTTTTTGATGAGTCTCAGCTCGTGGAAGAAATTCCACATTACTATGACAGTGACCAGTCTGTCGAAAAACAACCCCGCTATATTAGCCTGTCAATGAAACTGGTTGTGAGAATTTATTGACTCCTAGGGGATGATGACTAATAAAAATAATACATCTTTTTTTTTTAATATATCGTCATTCATGTAAATGCTTCTCGAAACGCCGTAGAAATTGTAATAATCACAGTTTTCTTACAGAGGTGCGGGAAGCCCAAGACAATGGGAAGGCAGCCAGATCTGTGACAACAATTGTCCAAGCTCTATGATCCTGTATTGGCATGTTTAGTCAACGCCATTAATGAGTGTTTATACATGATGAGTAATTATGATGATGGCACTCGTGATGCTTGTGGTACTCAGTGAACCCCTGGTTGGGATTTAAATTCGTGTGCTCGCACACGGGAGGAGCTCTGCCGCTGAACAAACTGAACCTCCGGCGCCTCGTTGCCTCCGGAGCGGTGGTCGTGCGATTGAGACTGCAGCAGAGCGAGCAGAGGGTTTGTCTTGTGGGCGTTGAACAATGGCGAGTAAGGAATTGTGTGATTTTTTTAGCTGTTGTACAACATTTTATGATTTATATTCTTGATACAGTGGTCGCCGACATACTGCGTCTTCTTGGTTCTTTCGGTAAAGTCACGTAGAAGGGAAATAATAAAATAATAAAAATAAAACATAATAAAATAATTCTCACGACGTTTCGGCCACAACGCAAGCAGCCGTCCTCAGGTGAAGAACAGGTCTGTCGGAAAGACAGCATCTGAATGAGCACCACCAGGCTTGGCAGCGTATATTTAAGCTGCGCCTCTGTACATGTGAACTGCATTCGTTGCTGAACACCCAGAAAACGAAGGCATTATTTATTTATATTACAGTGCCTGTGCAGCGGTGTCCCCTACCGCCCCTCTCTCTCCTGCACAAAGCACCGAATCGATTGCAGTGCTGTTTGTATACCCTCCATGCGGAGGGGCACCTGGATTTTGAACGGGGATTTTTTGAACGTCCGGATCTAGGCCCCCGTGCTCGCACCTAGCCCTTTCAATGTGGAGGCCCGTCAAGTTCAGGGCTGCTAGCCCCTGGTGCCACACTCCCCTCTGACTGAGGAGGTTCCGTTTTTTCGTGGTGAGCCGCCAAGCCTCCTCTGTGGCCGTGGCCGAGAGTTCCGAGTACCATGACCTCCTGGGCCAGTTGGGGGCTGTGAAGGGAAACAGCGGGGACACATATTTCGTGGTGGTGAGATGTTAACTCCCTCGCCTGGTATACAGGAGGTCGTGGGTTTGATCCCGGCCCTGACACTTCTATATTTGGATTTTGCATGTTCTCCCCATGGTTGTGTGGATTTTTCTCCGCATTTATAAATTTGCATTCAGAAAAAAGAGCTATGTAGCTCAAGTGGGCCTTACCGGGTACAATAAAAATAGTTAAGTAGTTTTAGTTTTAACGCCCCATCCCCTTTGACATGACAGTGCGCCCGGCACACATGTTTAGAGTCCGGGTGCCTGCCACGGAACGGAGTTCACATGTACGGAGTCGGAGTGTATTGGTGACCGCCGTATAAAAACTTGGCTGAAGGTAAATACGGAGCTCTGCTTTCTGTTTCTGTAGCATTTCATGGAATTTCATGGCATAAATACAGGACCCCCGCATCGGCGGTTTATTCATGTTGATATAGATACATGTGTGGGCGGTTCCCCCATTGCTAATGTACATTTCATACACTTTAAACATGTGGATAATCATCACTATAATTATGAAGTTGCTTTTTAGTTGGGCTGTTGTATGGCAATCAATTAAGACTGTAATTCAGATATGCATAATCTGTCCTTTCTTGATAAGGGAGAAATGCTAATACCTTTACCATCATGTAGAATGTACTCAGCAGAAGTGACGTTTTCATGACCCAAACAGTTTTGTGTGTCTGTCAGAGCATTCAAGTATTTGTCTGCTATAAATTTCCACATAAGCCACTTCGTTAAGATATCATTTATGGCCGGGTCACTTTTGAAGGAGAGATATATGGCTCAGAGGGCCTTACTGTGGTAAAATAAATGGCTTCGTATTAATTTATCCAAAAAAGAATCCATATTTGCTACATTATAGACAAACACCTTCAAATGGTGCCCCATATGTAAGGTCTAATTTGTGGAACTGCTCTGTCTAAGGGCGATTTCACGCTTTTTGTCATCAATCGACAATTTGAAGCAGTCCCACCCCACATCACCATCACCGCCGTCATTATCGTCATCGTTGTCATTATTGCCATCTCACGTCTGCAATATGAGCCACACCTGCAAAGGGCTGCGTAACCTCGCCGGGAAGTTGGCAAGAAATTGTCACGTGAATATGCTTGTTCCTGCCGTAAGAACATGGAATTCATTACAACTCCATCAGGAGCACAAAAGCAGAGGACCACCACCCAAGGCTGCTTCGGGCCTGATGTTCGCCATAACTGGCAATCGAACTCAAGCGCGGTTTGCCAACCACTCCATCCGCTTTACCCTGATACTGATATCGGCGGTGGTGGCGCACGGCTGTACTCCAGCGCTCTGGAGGAGGCGAAAGTTGGTGGACCATACAAATGCCGTGAGACTCCCCACCGGTGGGCGTCAAGGAGCTGTACCCTGGCTCGCCAGGCGAAGGCGGTGCAGCAGGTGTGGACTTATCTCTATTTGTCCCATCTGTGTTGGATAGAGTGTTACCCTCATTCATTGGCTGAAGACATATTCACATGTACAGTATGTGCCTCTGTGTTGCAGTTCGCAGCTCGTTGTGTGATGCATTAACTAAATATAAAAATATGGATTTTGTTATAGAGGCCCCGAACCTGTTCGTATTTACACCAGTGATGTCATTCTGGTCGTCAAATTCATCGTGCGGTATGCTAACCACTGCGGCACACACACACACTGCGCTCCACCGTGACCCACGCGTCGTCCGCAGGCTCCGCGCACCGCCATGGACTACGCCACCATGGACTACCAGCAGGGCTATGCCGAGGGCCGCAGCCCACTGCTGCACGACAAGGACCCGCGGCTCCCCACGGGGGACGACCCGGGCCCCCGAGCCGACCCCGACGACCTGGACGAGTCGCTGTGCCGCTTGCCGCTGGCCGACGGCGCGTGCGGCGGCGTACGCACCGAGCTGCTGCGCCTGCCCGTGCACCACGACCACCACCACGACCACCACCAGCAGCAGCAGCAGCACCGGCAGCACCCGGACGACCCGGATGGCCGCGGCGACCCCACCGTGCCCTCGTCATCCTCGTCCTCCTCCTCATCCGTCGCGGCCGAGGACATGAAGGACCCGCTGTTGTCGGCGGCGGCTGAGCCGGGCGAGCTGGAGATGGGGGCCGCGGTGGAGGGCTGCAGCCGGCTATTCGACGCGACGAGGATCTGGCGCCTGTCGCTATACCCGGCGGACGGCGCGGCGGCGTCGGCTGCATTCTACACGGGGTCGCCGCACGCGGACAGCGTCGACTCGGCCTCCTCGCCCGCGCCGCGCACAGGTGCGAGCGCTCGCGTGCGTTGCTTGCGTGTGCGCGCGCGTGTTGCTTGCGTGTGCGCGCGTGTGTGGTGGGGGGGAAACGGGAGCGTAGCGGTTCGAGCGCTGCGCTACGAAGCTGGCGACACGAGTTTGATTCCCGCTCACGGCTAACACCAGTGACGATTATCTGAAGCGGTCCTGGGCCTCCCCTAGGTCGACTCAGCCTCAAATGAGCACTTGGCGCGGTGTATAAACATCGACACTGGGGAGAAAAGGCCGTCAGGCGTGGTGCTGGCCACATCACCCCCGGATGTGCCGTGCCGGCCTTCATAGAAGCTAGCTAACAGCACTTGTCTCAACAATATATTAAGGCGATACAGAGGATCGTTGTCTTTTGCAGCGAGGACATGCACATGCACACACGTAAACGCATAAACACACGCGCGTGTGCAATACGCGAACCAAAAGATTTGGTCCGGATCAGTCCGAAAATATGGCGGCGCAGAAAGTAACATCACTAACATGGCGTCACGCCTGCGGTTTTTCCATCAGACGTGGCGTTGTGATGGGTGATGGTCCCTTTTGTAAGCATGAAGCCTTCTTAAATCAGCGTGGAATATAAATCATCCATAAAAATAATGTCGTTAAAAATCCAAAACGTTTTATTTGAGAAGTCATAGTATCACCACACGCAGTGCATACGAGGGGAGATCGCAAACTCTGCGTCCATTTTTACGGAGGAGCTTTGCAGCCTCCTGTTGAAGCGAGACATGGACATTGTGATCGCCCCTCTCGTATGCAATAACATTTTTACTTATTAACATATTTCACCTGGATAATTCCGTGCGATGGAACACTTCATTCGCAAGGGTGTCCAGCGTGTCAATTGGCTAGAACATGGCAAACATGTAGTGGCGCATGTACACACAGTGTTTATCTATAACTTACACATGTCTGCACAATGCGATACAATTTATACACTGTGTATGAAACTGAAAGTTCAGTGTTAACCTGCATCAGACCACGCTTACGTTCAGATGCATAATTTGGACGTTTCGAATGTGCAGGATTTAATTTACGACGTGATATTAAGGAGTCATTTTTGTACTCATGTGCGTGTGTGTGTGGTATTTGAGGAGGTGAGCGTGTGCTGGATTCATTAGTGAGACTGCTCAAAATGAGATTGGATGCTGATGGGTGGGGCGGGCGTGGGGGGGGGGTGGCGGCGGGCGAGGGGGTGCGGTGCGATTGATTGTGGCCCCCGTGCCGCTCGGCACGTTCACCGCCTGCGCCCACGCGCGCTAACGCAGCCGCTGCGGACCCCTGCACGCCCGTGTTCACCATCGTGAGCCGTGGTCTGTCTGCTACTGCATGATGAGGCCGCCCCGCGCTGATCCAATCTGTCACGGGGCTGCGGTGGCACAATCCGTCGCGCTTATCTGTGTGGATTGATCTCAATGCCCCCATCGTTACCGTGTCCGAGGCAGGTAACGGTGACTCTATTTGTATGCTCACCGTACAAGCGTGGGCTTGAGTGTGAGAATGGATTATTTATAGTTTGCGCAGAAACACGAACCGTTACCTCTCGACTAGGTGAGCGAATGCTCGCTGGGAGCTGGTGGCCATGCACGTGGCCTGTAATCCAGCACTGTGGTGGAGGCAGTCGGGGGGTAGGTGGATCACACAAAACACGCTGGGCTGTGAGGTCGCCATCTCCTGGCTTGTCAGGGTATGACAGTACATCAAGTCGATTCATTTCCATCGGTATTCCATCTGCACGGTTTCCTCCCACGTGTATAAATACTCAGCGGAGTTGACCAAACATCCCAATATAGGGCCACAGAGCTTGGGCAATAGAAATATTCAAATCCGAACGGTAAACATAAGAAAAAAGATGCGTTCCTTCATTCGAACTATGACCCACAATTGGGTGAAGCTCGATCATCTCGCGTTGGTTCATTCACTCTCATGCTCCGTTATTATTAAGTTATCATTCAATTTCAAACCTTAGCCACTCGCAAAATAAAGTGTGTGCGTCTTTGTTTTTGATGGCAGTGGAGGGTGGGAGCGGTGCGGGGAGATGACAGGTAATTTTAATGTACAGCACAGTGCGTTTTTTAATGATAATTTGAGCCACATCAAATCGTTAAACGGTTGCCTCTGGTGGTGTCTGTAATTAGAGCCAATTAATGAGTTTTCAAAGGGTTGAGCACTAGTGGCTGCCTAACGAGGTTAACCCCCACCCCATCACGGCCACTGCTGGTCAGGAAAAGATCAAAAGGGCAACTTGGCTTCCCACACATTCATGCAAAACCAGCAGGACTCTTAGGTGCCGTTCAAAATTGTTAGCAGTATGTATTAATAACGAATAATAATTTACGTAACTTTTTGCAACCCATTGCTGGATGAAGGTCCACCCATTCTATGGCCATCATGGGGGTTGTTTGACCATACTTAACGATGCTGATCTCTGCAGGTTGGTGAAGGTGGGATGGTTAAGGAAGGTCCAGTACCGATCGTGATATCACGCGCCACTGATGCAAGCCGTGGCCAGGAAACAAACTCAGGTCACCGGGTTCATAGTGCAGTGCGCTGTCCACTCTCCCACCCCCTCCATTCCCCCTGATCTATCTATAAATATGGACATCTACTGTACATTTGTGAAAAAAAGCTTTTTGGCTCATCGTATTCCTGCAGTATAAATACATATTCTAATATATGTATAATTCGCAAGTGTCTGTCCGTCATGCTGTAGATCCCCCAAACGGTTCATTCCCTGGACATATGAAGACAACCAACATTTTTTCTCTTGCCAAGGAGATTCCTGGAAAATCGTCGCCTTTCCGAATTTCCAACGTTTTGATGCCAAAAATTCAAGAAAACTCCTGGGAACATCCAATCGGGCGCCATTTGTAAATGATCATGTAATTGGAAGGTGCCTTGCACTGCATCGCTGAAACCAGGACCTGATTAGTAGAGGAGAGTGGAAGATCGAGGGTTATCGTGGCGTATCCACCTACAATATTGTCTGTCCACAAGTCTTAGAAATTACTTCAAAGCATATGGCTATTTCGACACTAATAATATACGGTATAGACATTTCAGGGGGTGCATACGAAATCTAAATTGCTTTCTTTTCACATATTTTATATCCCACGCAAATGCGAAGGTAGTGCTGTAGTGAATAATGTCCTTTATTCACTCAGGAAACCCTGAATGGGTCCTCAATACTCTTTTTCAGCAGGGTCCTGCATCTATATATCTAAGCCAGTTGAAGCTTCCTGTAAACCACGTGACTTCTGTGTGACCACGCCCACTCTGAAACCCTCCCCTCTCCCCGCCCCCTGTGAAAACAGACGCTACTACTCCTTGCAGCTCACGCCTGCTCGCTGCTTCCTTCTGTCTCCCTCTCTTCCCTCCCCTCTCATCATTGTCATCACCCTCTCATCCCCGACATCTTTGCCCGGCCATTCCTTCTCCCCCTCCTCCTTCTCTTCTTGCCCAGCCGCTCCTCCTCCTCTATTCTTGCTGCTCACCATGAGTCATCCGTCTTGGGACTTCCATCCTGGCATCGCTTTCCTTTTCCCAATCCTTTCTCTTTTCTCCATGCATTATATCCTTAACTTTGCTCCCCATCCTGTGGTGTGCCACGGGTACAAAGCTTTATTGGGATGACAGGTTGGTTTTAGTTTGCATATGTGGTGGGAAGCGGAAAAATAATAATAATGCAATTTATAACGCGTGCCAATTTGCGGACGTAACGGCCACCACTCAGAGGCGCGGAGCCAAGCTCAGAGTCGCTCGAAAACGTGGTTTTAGAGGTGAGTTTGTAAGTCTCTCTTGAAGGAGGCGATTGAGGTGATGCTGCGAATGTGCAGAGGGATATCGTTCCAGACTGTTGGGGCTGCCACCGAGAAGCGGCGCATAGACATGACCATCCTGGATCTTGGTATCAAGAGGAGATCGTGAGTCGCGCTGCGCAGGCATCTGCCGTGTGCTGAGCTGCAAGTTGTCAATAATGAAGAAAGGTACGGCGGGCAGGCAGATGCATACACAGGAGTCAAAAGTGAGCAGCTCCTACGGGACGACGAGCCCCACGGCCTACGTGAAGGGAACCGCGTTCCTCGCTTGCTGTCCCGCTTTGCAAACTGAGCCCTCTTGCTTCAGGGTGGCCATGGACACGTGGTATGGCCTTCGTATGAAATACAGCACAACGTCACACATCCAACCATCTTATATTCTCCCTGACCAACTAATCGGCCAGACCCAGTACAAGTACATATTGCATAGCTGATGAAAAGGTAAAGACACTCGACTGATTCGGAGTGAGACCTCTGCTGCCAAACCGGAGCTGGCAATAAGCACACTACCTAGGTATGGAAACTTTTCTAGTCTCTCCACACCTGCCCCATCACTCCTGGGGAGTGGAGGGGGTGGAGTATTTGATGACAGTTGAGGGGGTGGAGAGTTTTCCCCACCTCCGATATCCCGGAGTTGGCTAAATAAGCTGAAGTTCAACATGCCTATAACTCAAAAGACCCAGGTAGGTCCTTAGCTTTTGTGGGCCCCTATGCTAAGGCCTCACTTCTTAGTGGCATGCTCTAGGTTTAGCAAGAGAGCCTCCAACTCCTTCTCAGAGTGAGCAGATATTACCAGATCAGCATATAGAATAACATGGTTGACCAATGGGGAGCCATCCCTTGACTGCACCCGGGCATCAATCAGCCTCCCATTGTATCTATACCAGATGTAAATTCCTTTTGTACAGCCATGGAAAGCTTCTCAAACTATCTGGTCGCAAAATATGTTAAATAATGTAGGAGTCAGATGACATCCCTGTCACACCCCAAGGTGAACAGGGGATGGCTCTTGACTCCTGGGCTTTATCACCATCATGAAGGCACTTAATGATTGTGAGCAGAGAGTCAGGGACTCTGAAAGCACGAAGAACAGCCCAGAGTCAATAAAGCAGAGATGTAGGTCTTGTTGGAATTCCCTACACCTCTGCTGTAGCAAATGGAC